CCCCTACTTCAACGACCTGTACGATTACTTCGACGCGGGCCCGCCGGTGTACTTCGTCACGCGGGAGACGAACTTCACGGAGAGGTCGCACCAGCAGGAGGCGTGCGCCAGGTTCACGACGTGCGAGCAGATGTCGCTGGCCAACGTGCTGGAGGGGGAGCGGAAGAGGCCCGAGGTGTCGTACATCTCGTCGCCGGCGGCGAGCTGGATCGACGACTTCTTCCAGTGGCTGAACCCGGACCTCGGGGACAAGTGCTGCGTCAACGGGCGGCGGGCGTGCTTCGCCGGCAGGGACCCGGCGTGGAACATCACGCTATCCGGAATGCCCGAGGGCGAGGAGTTCGTGGGCTACCTGGAGAGGTTCCTCGCGGCGCCCACGACGGAGGACTGCCCGCTGGGCGGACAGGCGTCATATGGCGAGGCGGTGGTCGTGGACGCGGAGCGGAAGACGGTGAGGGCGAGCCAGTTCCGCACGAGCCACTCGCCGCTGAGGAGCCAGGATGACTTCATCAAGGCGTACGCGTCGGCGCGTAGGATAGCGGCGGACATCAGCGAGAGCACGGGCCTCGAGGTGTTCCCGTACAGCGTGTTCTACATCTTCTTCGACCAGTACGCGGGAATCGCGTCGCTGACGGCGACGCTCCTCGGATCCGCACTCGCCATGATCTTCCTGGTGTCGAGCGTGTTGCTGGGCTCGCTGCTCACGGCGCTGGTGGTGACGGCCACGGTGACGATGACGGTGGTGGACATCATGGGGGCGATGGCGGTCTTCGGCGTCTCCCTCAACGCCGTCTCGCTCGTGAACCTGATCATCTGCGTGGGCATAGCGGTGGAGTTCTGCGCGCACGTGGCGCGGGCGTTCATGTTCCCGTCGGCGAGCCTCGCGGAGCGCGCCAAGGGCCGGTTCCGGGAGGGTCGGGACGCTCGGGCGTGGGCGGCGCTCGTCAACGTCGGGTCCTCGGTGTTCTCGGGCATCACGGTCACGAAGCTGCTGGGGGTGAGCGTGCTGGCGTTCACGCGCTCCAAGATCTTCGAGATCTACTACTTCAGGGTGTGGCTGGCGCTCGTGGTGCTGGCGGCGTCGCACGCGCTGGTGTTCCTGCCCGTCGCGCTGAGCCTGGCGGGTGGGGAAGGGTACGTGGACCCGGAGGGGGAAGGGGGGATTGAGGATGACCTTGCGAGTAGGAGGTATAGGGCGTTGCTGCCGGAGGAGAGCGATTCGGAGAGCGAGGGGGAGGACGACGACGATGATCTGTGGAGGAGGTGAGGGTGGGGGGGTTTGGTCTTTACCACAACTACGGGGAGCTTAGGGACCAGGGGCCAGAAGGTTTGGTGTTTACTACATTGCAAGTGATTCTTCTTCTTCTTTATTCTTTTGCTTGGGATCATAGTGGGTGGACAGCGGGGAGTGGGCGATGGGTGGTATTAAACACACACGCATGACTGGGGGTTTCCCTTTGTTCAAAATAGCTGTTCTCTCGATAGGTACTTTACTCTTTTCTTCTGTGCAGGATGTAAAATAATACCTGTAATATAACTTATAACTCACAACTGCTTGTACGGTGTTGGTGTGGTGTTGGTGTCATCGTTGTCATGTGTGCCTGCTCACAAACAGTTCGGCCGCAGGCCAAAATTTCATCTCGTGCCCTATTGCACTCTTTTGAGAGCAATACTGGCTTATATCCAACACAAGGATACTCCATACAAGTTCTGTCCTGTGGGTTGGCTGCAACTTGTTCCGAAACTCCTTCCATGGATCCATGGGTAGTTAGATAGGGTATTAGTACGTACCCGTCCAGACACTGTAGCTGTATCAGTGTATGGAAATGAATGTGGGAGCTCAAGTGGGGCGGATGGGAGGACCAGAGCTGATTTCATGCAAGGTCCATGGTCCTCCCAGCGCGGAATCTGCCCCGCCCTTCCGCTCCCTCTTCACTGTTCCTTTATCTATTGCATAATCTCCAATAGAGCATTTCGCCCCGAAACGAGGTCCACCTAATACATTATAACTAGTACCTCGTACATACAGGAGGGAGGGGAAGTTCCTAGGCGGTGTCAGATCGGCCGTCTCCCCCCCCTGCCATCCGGCTCTAGGGAACCTGGACCACGAAGCACGAGTAGTAAGGACGGCGAGATTTTGGGGACCATCGATCCGTACATAACCTTATCGTACTCGTTACTCTTCGCACAGGCTACCTCAGAGCTGCGGGGGTGGCGGCAAAATGGGCGGTGTGCTCGTTTCATACAAGTACTCGTAGATTGTGTCTCCCGTCCCTGGAATTGCCATACTGCTACGTAGTAGGTGGTTTCATGTTTCTCCACCTTCGGAGAAAGCTGTCACGGCGCGTAATCTTGGATACATGCCTGCCTGCTGCTACCTCGTACAATTGGTAAAAAGCAAGGCCACTTTTTTTACCATGAGTTTCCATCACTACAAAAACAAACGCAAGGGACAGAGGAAGCTTTTTTTTTTCTGTGGCATTTTTACTTGTATTATTGGTCGAAGCTAGAGCGAAGGGAAACACGTGCCCAACGCCGACATTAGCTACCTGCCCCCGCTCCCCAATATTCTAAGTTCGTTCCTAGCCATCACCACTGGGAAGCTCGGGCCTAGTTCTCCTGGGCCCCACTCAACTTTTTTTTTTGGCGGGAATTGGAATCCACCTTTTTACCCCATACGTACCCACACTGCGCCCTGGACCCTTTTCCCACCTGTTTTCCCACGCCCCCCTGCTCTTCTCCACCCTCTGCGCCTCACTCCGTCATTTCGTCCTTCGATTTCCTCAGGGCCTTCGTCTCTCCTGAGAATCAAAGCCATCAATCCATCCTCCCTTTTTTCTTCTCTTTCTCTCCTCCCTCCGCCAACCCAACCCCCGACCCACCGAATCGATTCATCTAGAAATTTGGAAGCACAGCTTTCTTTTTCACAAACCGCCAACATGCCTGGAATTCGTAAGCTTAATCCCCATCTCTCTCTTCCCCCCCTGAACCCCAGAATCGTCGTCATCGCCAAGACAAGAGTCGCCCTCCACCCCACACCCCCGAGCGGAGGATGATCGTACCCTGAGGGTCTCGGTCATCGGGACCATTGGCCATCTTGCCCCTCGAACAAATGATGAAGAAGAAGAAGACAGAATAAGAGGCTAATGAACATCCGTTATTCCAACTTCTTTAGCGCTCCACGCCCTCGACAACCTGAAGGGCAAGTTCAAGTCCATCTTCAAGAAGAAAACCGCCGACCTCGCCGATGCCCTGAAGGCCGACGAGAAGCCCGCCGCCGCTGCTGCCCCCGCCGCCACCCCTGCCGCTGCCGCTGCGCCCACCGCGACCGAGACGGCCCCGGCTGCTGCCCCCGCTGGTTCGTCGTGCCACCCCAACATGCTCTACACTTCATAGTAAAGATGTGGTTTGAGGGTCCACAAGGGGCGTTTGTTTGGACTAACGTAACGGAAATAGCTGCCCCTGCTCCGGCCGAGCCCGCCGCTGCCCCCGCCGCTGCCCCTGCTGCTGAAGCCGCTGGTGAGAATCGCCCCGGTGTTGTTTGGTGTTTGGCCCGGGACGAATGTGTAGCTGACGTCGACACTAGCACCCGCCGAGCCCGCTCCCGCTGCTGCCCCCGCTGCGGAGGAGGCGAAGCCCGCTGAGCCCGCCCCTGCCGCCGCCGCCGCCGCCGGTAAGTGTTAACTTCATCGTATCCTTATGTGGAACAAGTGAATGTCTGACGTGGAATCTAGCTCCCGCCGAGCCTACTCCCGCTCCCGCTGCCGCCCCCGCTGTAGAGGAAGCTAAGCCCGCTGAGGCCGCTGCCCCCGCTGCTGGTAAGCATCTCCCCATCCTATCATTATCTGAGAAGAGTGAGGAGCTGACGTAGACTCTAGCCCCCGCCGAGCCTACTCCCGCCCCCGCTGCCGAAGAGGCGAAGCCCGCTGAGCCCGCCCCCGTAGCCGAGGCCCCTGGTAACTACCATCCTATCCCATACTGACCTGAAAGAGTGAATATCTGACATAGACCTCTAGCTCCTACCGAGGCCCCCGCCGCGCCCGCCGAGGCCCCCAAGGAGGTGCCCGCCACCGAGGCGCCTGCTCCCGCCGCCGCTGAGACCGCCCCTGCTGCCCCCACTGCCCCTGCTGCCACCGAGGCTCCTGCCGCCCCTGCTGAGGAGAAGAAGGATGCCGCGCCTACTGCCTAGAGAAATATTCCATGCGAATATTGGGTAGTTCTGGAGTAAGAATGATGAACCTCCGCTAAGAGGGGGGGACTTGGTGCGGAGAGAGAGCCAGAATATTGATCCCCTTCAAGGGATGGGCCTGGTTGGAGAGAGCAATGGCTTAGATGGTTTATGTGATTTGGGGACGAGACATGTTTGGGGGGGACTTGTTTTGCTTTTGTTGTTATTTTTTAAGCTTGGATGGATACCCAGAATATGACGTAGTCGAAATGCAAGCAAAACGGGATTACGTGATGATTTTTCTTGAGGTGTGAGCTTTAACTATCTGCTGCGAAGTGGACTTGGGACCTGGTTGCATCGGGGATTCTGAGGGTCCTGGGGAAACGGACGACTTAGCTATATGCAAGGATGGCGCAGGGGAAAAGCTTGGCATTTCGGTGTGGGGAAGGTAAGGCTTGGATATGGGGTCCAGGTAAACAGGTAATATACCCGTGTGGGTTTGATATACCCCCCATCTCCCTTCTACTTCTTCTCTTTTCCTCAGAAGGTATGGGTGTGAGCCTAAGACGGTTGGCATGCTATATTGGCACCCCGGTTTCCATCTGGTCCTGGCTTGGGTATAATACTTGCCTCGGCCCTGTGTCCTGTGTTGATGCAATCATCCCGAGAGGAAGTTTTAAATTTACACTAAAAAAGGCGACGAAATGACTAGGAAGGTCTATAGTTGAGATGCCCTGCTACCGCCTCATTCGAATCGTATCGTGAAGTGAGGGGGAGAGAGAGGGAGAGCTACGTAGGTGAATGAATCGAAGATGCAAAAAAAGAACCGTTTTGCTCAGGCCGAGACTCGAACTCGGATCATTTGCTATGCCAGAAGATTTCCGGAGATGGAAGGCAAATATTCTACCCCTGAACCACCTGAGCTATGCTGGACGTGTGTTGCCCAGTTGCGATAAAATTCTAGAGGCCTGGGAGGGCATATGCACCATGTAGCAGGCACCGTTAGGGTCAAGCTTCCTCCGGGGCACTAGAACTGGGTCTAGGTAGTGTTGAGGGTATCGGATCGATATGGGGCTATGCATTAAGTCGAAATTCACACAAAATCAGTATAGAAGTGGTCAATGTATAAGTTCTACAGGTCTGCAGAAGCCCCAGAGAACACATCAGGTATGGAGGGCCGTCAGGCGGAGAGCTTGTTTGCACTTCCGTCCGATGCTGCGGCCCGCGCGGATGACGCAGGGAGAGTGAACTAACACGAGATATCATTTCGTTTGCTTACAAAAATACGAGTGGCGGACATGTTATTTCTTCTGTCAACCTTGTGGGGACGTGCGAGGTCTTTCCCTCGTTGTCTTTACTGATGTAGGCATCTATCCGAAATTTAAACTTTCCAGCAGGGTGAGTGTGAAGCTGTTTTCGGGATGACGGCGGCAGACTGATGGGTGCCACCACCTTAGCGCTGTCAATTTACTAGGGGGGACGCTAACTAGCGCTGGTATTCCGCGTAGGGCAAAGACTCTGGGAGCTATTCTTAGCGGGCTGTGGGTCCTCATTAACTTTCAGCCAACCGATCCTCCCGCACGCAAACACCCAGCTTAACCACTGCCGACATCCGGCCGCAGCGTGGTATCGGACCCGCCAAAGCTACCAAAGTGCGCTCTCCCAGAACGGCCGGGCATGCCAGTCCCGCTCACGCCGGGACCCGGGCACCTCCCGTCCCCCACGGCGGCCAACGCACCAGAGGGCGTCGTAATCCAGGGTATAACACGCGTCGACGGCAGCACTACCCAGCTAATGAACTCCATGGCGAGCACCAGCGGCGACGAGAACCAGGAGGGGGAGGACGTCGCCCTCTAGTTAAAGATCACTAGCTAATACAACACAACACGGAAAGGCGGATCGCCGTCTTCAGCGCCTACAGGGAGCTGGTGGAGTTCGAGGTGCAGGCCGCCCGGCGGCTCAAGCAGCTCGATGAGGAGAGGGAGCGGCAAAGCGCCGCCATCCAAGAGGAGCGCGCGGTCCTTCTGCGGCGCATGGAGTCTATGAAGCCGTGCCCGATCGTCCCGTCGAAGAGGCCACTCCAGGGAGAGAGCGGTGATGAGCGGGCTCAGAAGGCCCGGAGGACGGCGGATGCGGAGCAGATGGCGGCGCCTGTGTCTGTGCAACCCGGCGGGAGTACCGACCGGCTGGCGGTCAGATCTCTCATAGTGATTACTTTCCTAATTCCACGAATAATAGGCGTGGTCTTCTTACGACGCCTGTTGAGGACATGCCGCCCAAGGCTCTTGATGTGGGCTCCCGCGATGGCAAGTGCCCGTTTGGTGTTTGGCGAGTCCACGTTTGTTTTTCCATGATGGTGATGGAGGAGGATTTCTACGGCCTTTAAATAGCGTTCTCTAACCTTTATTTGGCCCACTAGACACGAAATTCTTCATTATCAAAATAGCTTTAAGAGCATTACCAAGTCCCGGAACGACGTGAGTAACTCCTTTTCCCCCTTCCCTGTCTATCACTCGCTGTATGGAAGGTCAGCGGACATTCGATTTCCCGGCCCTTCGTTGATATGAAATCCTCCTGGGCATAGGTGCTGTTGATGACCCCTACCCTTGCCACGGAGATTGGAGTCGCATTTCAACGCGCGAAACCACCTACCTAATCTTTGTCCTCAACACTGGATTACACATGATCGAATTCGTACGTCCCTCGAAACCCCCTAATCGAAGGAACCTCCCCTCCTAAATCAGTCATCACAAGGGTTGGCCCCCTAATTGGAATAGACTAGGCACGCATCAGTAGTCGGGTCACCGACGTTACGTTCCGTGTCGAGCGGCTCAACTCCTCTGATATCGCCCCTCGAGGATACCGACACCTGAGCCACCTGGGAAACTCCGCAACGATAAACACGTGTAAGAGCGGGCACGTGGTGCCATTCGATCTCGGGTGCGATCTCATCCGCCTGATCCACGAAGATCCGGGCGTGTATACCGAGGAGGCCGAGCCGCCGTCGATCAACGGTGGCTACGGTTTAGATGTCAAGACAGAATTCAACTAAGCGAGAGTAGGACGGTACTCTTCTGTTGTTGTTGTTTTTTTCTCGCTCGTTTGCACGCCAGAGACCTCGCGGCGACCCAAGAAAGCCCATCTCTTCCTGTACTTCCGACATCTACTTTCTTGTGTTTGCCATGTTGCGGAAACCCGCAGGCTGGCGTTTGCATTGTTGTCCCTTGCACCGGGGCGGGGCTAGTGACGTGGCGGATGTCTAATGTACAGGTCTAGGTGAATGGAGTCCGGCAGGTAGATGAAAGGTGCATTCCTTGATGGTAGACTTACATCAATAACACATATGTACCTTGAGTAAACTTTTCCTCAGTTTCTACTTTTGCGACGGAGGTGTGGTGGTTGAAAGTGGATGGGTCCAGTGGAGTCTGACTGGTAGATGGAAGGTGCTCCTCTGCTCCTTCCCGAATAATCTCCTCGTTTTCATGCCCAATGGATCACCTCCTCTCCCCCATTGTACGCCCTTTCTAGAGCGTTCTTTATGGAGGGTTATGGGTTATTCCTTTTGTCCCCGGACGAACCTCTCCTACACAACTCACCGTTGTCGCTCCCCCCCGTCTCTGTCATCTCCAGCCAACTCCTGCTCCGCTTCGATTTTCGACAGATCCTCCCTCTGATTTCCATCTTCCTTACCACAACGCTTGTCATTCGTATCACACGAAATAGCACTCTTGAACGATGCGTCCAGCCCGGTCTCTCGGGAAACCACGCGTGTCGTACCGAGACGTCTGGCCAGTCCACGGGTCCTCCTCTGACGGTCACAACACTCTGCCCAGCAACGAAAAAGGTAAACCCGAGTTAAAAGGCAACCCCGTCAGGCCGAGTCGGACTCGACATTTTGCTTCTTGGGGCTAATGAGATATTTTAACCGAAGACGGCGGCATCAGCTCTCTAACCTCAAAGCCGAGCGACGTCGAGACGCTAGGTGAAGATGATGGAAGCGTCCGGAACTGGCTCAGATTTACTGGGTACTACGATAAGCAAATACGTGCGGCAGTAGAGAAGGCAATCGTACAGTACCAGTTGTTTGAGAAGGAGGCTGAGACGAGACTGACCGCCTTGGACGAGGACAGAGCCCGCCAGGTCGCCGCCCTCAAGGAAGAACGACTGGCATTCCAGCATAAAATCGGAGCATTCATCCTGCCCCCAGCTCTCGCACCTTCTACTTCTCCCCCACAGAGGCAATCTACCACGGTCTTTTGCAGCGAGAGAACTCGAAAAGCCTCGAGAGTTGATATTCCTGATAGAGCGAATGCTACTCGGCGTGCAACCGATAGCCCTGTTCCTACGACAGACAGCATACCAGGTCATGGTAAGCTTCTAGCCAGTTTATTCTCTCTGCGCAGCTCTATATTCTCAGAATCATGTACTAAATATGTGTCTACGGTATCCTCTAACCTACTTCGCGATAACCAGAGAAGATTTTTTTCATGCTCAAGACAGACAATTACGACAGACTGCTCATCTGCACGAAAGAGGTAGGTATCACCAACTCAGCGTCGCGAATCAGAGGCTAATGCCAATGGAAATATGGCCGACAAGTCTCCTGGAATGGATACTTATGTCGAGGTGGGCGACTGCTAATATAAATCTTGCTGAATAGGACATCTGAACCATGCAGTTGCGGGCCGTAAAGGCGCTCGGAGAAGCCTTTGATCGTCACAAAGAAGTTATTGTGATATTCGCTCTGGGTAGCATGAAAATTGTGTTTGGCTATGTGAGTAGTTCTCAGTCGTACACAGAGGTCCAGTTTCAGCTTACAAGTCTCTGGAAGGCGCGCATGGTATCCCGGCCAGATCCATCGAATCCTGCGCCTGCATGGGAGGAGGACGACCCCCGAACTGTTCACAACGTTCACAAGTACTCCAGCATCTCGGATCCGTTCCGAGTGGAGTGGATCAAGGAGGTAAGGATTCCGTTTAGAGACTTCAAATCTCTGAAGAATATCCTTTCCAATACGAGGAACGGACAGGAAATCGAACTCGATGTGGGTCATTAGCTTCTTGGTGTCATTGACTCGGTATGGACAGCCGACGAGAACCCCCCCGGCCCCTTTGAATCCAACGCGAACATCATGAACATTGATGGGCGAAGATTGGGTCATGGACATGACTTAGGGGAGGGACAGGAAAAAGACTTAGATAAAGATTATGAAGATGATTCGGAGCGAGAACGGGAAGCCGAGGAGGGAGAGGAATATCCTTTCTGTTGCGGCTCGGGCATTCGCAAAAGGTCGAAAAATACAGGCATCTTCTCATGAGAACTTCGAGTTCCTTGGGTTTGCACTACGAAAGACGCGATAGGGCGGAAGACCAAGGACGGAGGTTTGATTTTTTTTTGGACGAGTTTGTAGGCATTCACGACATTTTGGATGAGAGGGCAAGGCGACTGGGCGGAAGACCATTAGAAGCCGGCGGAATTTTCGGGTGATTTGAATGAATGATTTCACAACATTTTAAACAAGGGGGCTGCTTCATAGCGGAAATCGTCATATAATGGTTCATTGCCATCATAGAGTTCAACGTTGTTGACTGACCCTTGAAGAACAGGACTCGAGTGAAGTGAAGTTAGGAGCTGACTCATCGTCGTGTGAAGCCAAAGCGGGCATGTTTCAACAACCCGTCCGTACCTTCTCATACATGACCGAACCGGAATTACTCAACATTCAATATCCCGCTCGTCGAATTTATACCTAATCCTAGCCATTTATATCTCTTGGGATAATCAACGCCCCATCCCCAGCCGTCACGATGGAACCCCCAGCACCACCTCCCCAAACCCAAGCCCAACCCAACCCTCAACACAGGACGTTCCCCACACTCGAGCTCCTCGATCTCACCTCACCCCACGCCTTCACAAAGCCCACG